GATATTCAGTGATTCCAATAGTACAAATTTTTCGGCAAGATAGAAATATTTTCCACATTGTAACGGATGGCCTTTACAACGGTGATACCTTCAACGCAAACCTATGATATCGGTCAAGGACATTCCTTGCCGATGGTTCAGGTCGTATGGATATGCATATGGTCAGATATGCACATTTTCTTTCGACCTTTAGTTTTTAATATCCCTATGTCTTATTCTGAGAATAATTTTGAAAGAGATCCTTTTCCAGAAGGCTATACAGTTGTGACGATATTGCAGAAGATAACTGATGAGTAGCTCCGTATTTCAAATTTACGCACTTATTAACATGCTTACAAAGAAATTGATAATTAATATATACTAGTAAACAATACCAGGATCCACCACCATGATGTTATCAAAGTCGTATAATGGCAAATCTTCCTCTGATCCACAAGGGCTGCGACTGCGTGTGGTAGTGAAGACTTGGAGAAGAGTTTGGCCAGGCTGACCTCGGTATTCCAGGGAACCAGAATGGCTTAACCAGCAAATCTCCGAGAAATAGAGGTTATGCTTGGGTCCACACAACAAGTGAGGACGGGCCATTCAAGTGCCAAATACCAAGTGTCAAGTATATATTAGTATGTTTCTCAACCTTTTTAAATTTTTTGTGTATGTTCCCTAGTGTGTGTGAGTTAAGTATATGGTTGTTTTTTTCCTCAGATCGACTATTTTTGTCCGAAATTTAAAAATCGTTCAAGTATTCCTGAACCTGAAAAAACATTCTACAACAAATGGCTCTTTACGAAGTTTGGAGACCTGTTGTTCTAGTCTTAACAGTCGGCGACGTTTTTAAGATATTGCCCTGCAACGTGAAAATCGATGAAATAGCAGTTGCCACAATACGCACTATCCACCCAAAATCGGACTATGCTGGATGGCGAGAATCGTCCAATATCCGTCCTGTGTAAAAGGGCACCGCCGAATGAAGTTCCTCATTCGAGAGGTGCTCCCACCACTTTATTCAACTTGATGCGACTATGAATACTCACATATCGACATCGACCAGTTGTGGATGATCGACCAGGATCAAGCGGCGTTGAGGAAGGTGAAGGCGTCGAAACGTTAACCAAATAAAAGTTCTTTGCTCGGTTTTCAAGTATCCGCGGTTTTTTCTTTTCTTTTTTCTTTACTGTCTTCTAGAGGAGCAGGTCTACTCTACTATACCAGCCTTGGAAGAAGCTGAAGGTTGAATAGGAGATGTTAAGTCTAGCATCCCATAAGAGTTTCTGGTGAAACCAATTAATGCGTTTCCTGGGTAGCTTAAGAGGTCATCAGCGAAGACTGGTACCCCTTTCACACTTTAAATAAAGTTTCATGTTTTATGCTTTTTTCTTTCATATTCTTTTATTATTTGCTCATAAAAATTAAACTGTATGAATCTTGAAATATTAAATTACTTTTCTATCACCAAATAGGTTAAGTTGTTATTTGTGGTAATGCATGATCTGGACATGATTTCTTTATTTACGACTTTCTTTCACTCCTGCGTCTAGGATCTTTGCCAAAATCCGCATTGATGAAGATCCTCCTGTACCGACTTAATGAAAACGGCTTTGAGGACGACCTGTCGAAATTATTTCGATGTGTACTTGATTTCATTAGATTTAACCACGAAGAGTCAGAGATCGAGAAGAATAACAGCTGTGGACTATGGGAATCATTGCGATACCGAAAAAAAGTGGAATGCAACCTAATATTGTACTATAGACATAAAAAGGATAAAGCTCTCGGCGTTGATCAGTTCTTGGAGGATGCGCCACGCATTCGACTTCATTAAGCATCGTTGGTGGTGACTGAATGCATATCTGGTCTTTACAATGACTAGCGGTGGCCTACCGATGTATCGAGCCAGTGCTGCTATCCACCCAGACAAGTCTGGTACCAATTTGCCGATCCCGGAAGGATGGAAGGATTGGCGGACCATGGGCGCGTGGATCAATTCCACGTGTGCGTTGCAGGGTGCCACTGCGCCACACCAGCCCTTTTGGTTCTATCGGTATGGATAATATCTTTGTACTATTTATTATATGTTACTATGGTCCATCATGCAGATACATTGCTATCAGTATTTAAAAGCGTTTTGCGACTCGCAGGTCTCCATTTCAATAATTCTTATAGCTGCGCATTCTATACCTTAACTATTATAAGAATTAGAATTGAAGCGGTTTTCTACATGTAGAGAATAAATATGTGTGTGATGTATGCATGATGATGAAATGTACGATTTTCTGGATATTTGCAAGTACAGAATACACCGTTTCTTGACGAACGCCCAACGCACCACTTGTTTCACAAGCTATCAGCTGATAGCACAAAGTGACATAATAGTTCTATGTGTTAAAGCAAACCACTGGAAGAAAAATGAGATCCGTAGGTGCTATATCGGCCAATCACGGAAAACCATTATGGCATCTATAGGTGTCATTGGCCGCGAGAATGTTAGACAGTGAAGAGAGTGTGTGGTAGACCACCAACACACCAAGTCACGTTAGTGAAGAAAAAGTTGTAGAATAACAGTCAACCAAGACTTATTACTTCCGAAAGGTATGTGCGGAGAACCCTTCTGAGAATCTAAGCAAGCACCAAATCCTGGAGTACTTCGGTTGTCAAGGGGTCATTGGGAATTGTTAAAAATCCCGAATGGTCGTCAACGGGCTAATATCGATGTAGGCAGGTCAGTGAAGAATTCAGATGAACGAAATGCCACTGACTGTGCGATATCACGTGCAGGTCAATGCTGCAAAAAGTTTTTTTTGGAGCTATTTCATTGGGCGCGGTGCGGATAAAACAACGGCAATTGCTAGCAGCCTTGTCTAGGCCCAAATCACTTCATTAAATCCAAGAAAGAACGATCTGGCATAAAAATCGAGGGAGAATCGACACGACTGACAATCAGAGACATTCATAAAAAAAAGACAATCCTCAAGTAGCAGCCGAAGAAACGAGTAAAACGAGTAGAATGCAAGAAGTGGTGGGATCTGCACAGTATGTATGAAAGAGGACACGTATAAATAATGACAATAGTTTTGAAATCGACCGTCGTTTAACCTCAGTACTATAATCAACATTTCTTTACATTAATGAGCTTAGACGTTGTTGATATGAGATGCTTATTCGGATAACGTTTCGACGTCTTCGCCTTCATCAGAGCCGTTGATCCTTGTCGATGGTCCACAGTTGTTCCTCTTCTCGACCTGGCGTCTTCTTCTTGCATCGAGCCGGATCTTCCTTAGCTGAGTATCTCGAGTGATCCATACTCACCCAGCGATGCTTTTTTTTCATAGAACAACTGGTGGAACAACTGTGGGCCATCGACAAGAATCATCGGCTCTGATGAAGACGAAGACGTCGAAACGTTATCCGAATAAGCATCTCATATCAACATCGTCTAAGCACAACAATGTAAACAAATGGCAGTAATATTTCATGAAGACTAAATGCAAACGAAACATGCTGTTCTCGACTATACCACACCGTAACAATTCTGGAATTCATAACAGTAAACAATAAAGGATATAGTTTTCGGCGTTGATTAATCTCTGAGGGATGCGCCATGCATTCGATTTCATTAAGCATCTCTTGGAAGTGATTGAATACATATCTGGCCTTTACAGCGACTCGTGGTGGCCTACCGATGTATCGAGCCAGTGCTGCTATCCTACCAGACAAGTCTGGTACCAATTTGCCTACCCCGGAAGGATGGAAGGCTTGGTGGGCCATGGGCCCAGAGATCGATTCCATGTGTGTCGCAGTGGCGCCTCCAACCACTGCGCCACACGCGCCCTCATTTTTTGTGGTTTCTGATTCTCTCTTCCTGTATATTTGCTTTTTCTGCCTCATTGATTGCTGTCGCATTGAAACAATGTGAGGGAAATACAAGTTGCATTTAATTTTTTACAAAGAATGCAGATAGTCCCAATTACAAATGCGAAATCAAACCTAACAGATCTATTCGATGTTTTCTTTTCGAAAACTACCCATAACAAATGAATGCAGTAGGAAACAGCAATGCTATTCCTTTCCGCCATTCTTCTTTCTTACACCACACGGCAAAGAAATAAAACGAATTCAGTAAGCTCGGCTTGCGGAATTCGCCCGCATATAAGTTACAGTAAGACTTAAAGAAATATTAAGAGGCTTAGTAGATCTTGATAAGTAGTCGCCATCGAAATGTTAAAAAAATCTATTCAATCAATAAATGAAAGTGTGGAAGAAATAAGCTTAAGATGGTGGCACTATTAGACGGCAAACAGAAAAGCTGTGAACCTATTCGAATCTGGAAACTCGCGAAAAGAGCAAATCAGACGAGTATCGCCGTCATTTTGAAATCAAAGTTTTTACACTCTTCTTTTGCAGTCAGTAATCTTGACGACGGGCCGATGTTACGGTTAGCGTCGAACGAGGTTTCCATTTGCGATCGTCTGTAAGTAGCTTAACGGATATAGAATCTATCGAGGCGCTTCCACACAGTGAAAAGGATACTTATTGATCGCCGGCGACGTTTTAGTGGTGCACTTATTTTGCAGACGTGCAGTGTACAGAGAACAATGACATACGACACTACTTCATAAAGGAAAAGTATCACTTACCGTGCTCCACTTTTCTTTGTATATGATTGTAGTCTGCTTTTTATAGGAGACTCTTTTCTAAGAATAGTTGAGCAGAAGGCTTTCCGATAATTTTCGGAAAAAACATTGTACAGTATTGGATTGATAGCTGAATTAGTATAGTAGCAACAACCTGAAACCTTTTGAACATTTCTATCAAGCACCTGTTGTGGATTTAAGGAAGAATTGGTAACCTGATATGTAGTAGACGAGCAAAAAAGATGCCTCCACTGCTGGTGGGACTTTTCCTTCGTGATAGTTGATGAAAAGTGAAAGAAGACGCTGAATGTGAAAAGGCAACCAGCACAAGAAGAACGATATCACGACCGATACTGAAAACGAAGATGCCTTAGGTTGCGTCACACTGCTTACCTAGGTGTGGAAACGTACTAATTCTTGCCCATGTAAAACAGTAGCCTCTCAAATCCATTGACAACAAAAACTCAAACGGTTCGAAAGGAGCCCAAGTGGGAAGCACTCTCTACTTGTAAAATCATGAATAATTTTTTATAAAAGAAAACTAATAACTGCCTATAGTAGACCTTTAATCTGCTTGGAGAGCTGAATACGGTAAGTTATGTTTGGTATGCTCATTTCCTTAGGATTAACACCGCATTTCCGTCGCAGTATATTCAGTATTTTATTGCTCCACTTATGGGATATCAGAAATCAAATCCCATTCATCCAAGGATAGGACTGAACCTATCACAAGCTCGGTAACTGTTTGCCGGTGTGCTTTGCGGACAAAAAGAGAAAGAGAATCTCTGGACTTGGCTCAAAAAATAGCCATTCTCACTGGCTACGAAAGGGTAGCTGCTGGGGTAAGCTTAGAGGAGAAAGAAAGCCCCGAAATGATAAATCAAGTGAAATCAGGACTCCATTTATTCTGCCCTTCATTTGCAACAAAATAAGTACAGCTGTTAAACGTTGCTGATTCAGGGAAGCTGGAGGCATGATTGAGATACCACAGAAAGCACTAAGATACTAAGATAGCTAGTTCCTTACTACTTGTATAACCGCCTATGCGAAACGCCCATGTGCATAATTTGTCACAAAGGTAGAGACGGTAACTGCATGAGTTCCGATACTGTGTATTTTTCTCTTGTAAACGGTGGGGGGAGGAATACATTGATGAAAAGGGTGGACTACTACGCGCCCGCGTAAAAAGTACTTAGTTGGGAAACTCGAAGTCAAATGAAATACTCCACTAGACGCGCTTAGGACACAAAGACATAACAGAGAATATTTTGAGGTAAAAGTCGTTATCCTTGCACAAGAATATTTCAGCGAGTAAAACTTTTAAAGTGTTTCAAATAAATTCAAAAAGTCCAAAAATGAGAGGCGAGGAGGAGCGTGTTGTGGTCACGCGTGACCTAACTCCATAGCGCAGTTGGTCTCTACCAAATAACTGAAAGGGTTGCAAAGAACAAAACGGTATGTTTAAAAGAAGCTGCTCATTACGCGAATAACGCTACAAGGTAAAAATCTAAGTGCGGGACTAAACTGCGTTAGTGGTCTGCACAGTAACATGTTCTAAGAATAGAACCATTAAAATATAGCTGGTTATTTTAAGTATTTGGTCTGTGGTGGTTGAATTAAAGTTATATGAGAAGAGTGCTTAGATATGCAACCCGGTAATCGTTGGTGTAAGTTATATCGTCCACCGTGTGGCAAAACATGGCTCTACGCTCACCTAACATCTTAATGACGGTATGTGTGCTTTTCGTTCGTGCCTTGTTATTCTCCACCAGTAGCAAATCGGTGACACCGATTCGAATCGCGATATGTGTGTACATCATCGTCATCAGGATAGCTGGAAAACGTCTAAAATGTATACACACGCTAAAAATCCCGGCACAGGAACGGCATAGGAGCTGTAATGAGGCGAATGACAGGAGGTGATTGCCAAGCTTACCGGGTACCATGAAAAATGCGACGAACGCAAAAATGATGATCCTATTTTGTAGTTCCGGTTTTTCGAAGTCCATTGCGCAAAATTCAGTGTTTTTCGTTGTCTCGTCATCATCAGAGACCTTAGAAAAGAAAATAACATTCTTGAAAACAAATAGTAGTTCTTTTCTTGAGGTCACGCGTGCATTCAAATTAGGAAGAAGTAGATGGAATCAGTGTATTCAACTCTACGAGCTTCATAAACAGATTTAACTTCTGTTCACTGTCTGTTGCTATTATACTGTATTGTATTACTATTGTAATAGGCAGTAAATAAAAGTTAAAATATTTCCATCTCGACTATAGCTACAGCTTAACTGTATTCAGTGGCGATTTATTCCCTCCTGATAAGACCGCTGACGGAAGATTGCTCATAGCACCGTTAGAGTAAAAATTGTCGGAGCGAAAGTCAAAGCAAAGGTCTCAGTTAATGTGGTGGATAACATGTGAGCCCGTGGTAGGAGTAATTTCTGGTTCGGAGTTCGCTTGAGTGCTCGAATCCTGCTCATATCTCACCCCTCTTGTGCTTATGATCGTGTTTTGGAAGTGACTTGCCAAACAACTACGACGCTTATACTGTAGTTGTTGCAAACGATATTTCGAAACTTGACGAGAAAGTTCCACGCGTTCGGACACGATCCAGTCCAATTATGATTCGCTGCAACTTGTCAAGAACCAGCTGTGCAAGTTTACATTGAGTCACGCACGACTTAAAAATGACAGTGATCATTCCTTCAATTCATAACCACAAGTGGATAACACGCGAACCACGGAAAAGAGTAATGGCGGGTTCGAAACTCACATGGGATTCAAAGTTTTGCTCATATCTCAGCATTGTTGTGGTTGCATTTTACAAACAGGTTTTGCTCATGCATAATCAATTATTGTGAGTAATAAAGGGCTCTAGACAACCATAGTATTTTTTTTTTGCGTATTGCTTCACTAAAGTAGGCGTGAACCTCTAAAAATTATGTGCAGCCAGTAATTAAATGCTAGAGGTGTCACATAAGGTACTACACGATGGTTCCTATAGTATACCCATATGCGAATCTAAGTCAAAACATTCGACTATTTTTGTCTTTACGTTCCTATCTTTATGAGGCTATTCTTACCTTGTAAGTCCAGTTCTGGCCCATGGCCCATTCGGGTAAAGGTAAACGATTGATTTTCACGACATATCCAATCGGTACAGCTGCTATCGACGAGATTATCCACATCACAATTATTGTCAGATAGGCTCGTGACATTTTCGGCGAAGATTTGGAGCGAATCGGATAGCTTAAAAGAGTTTAAAACAGCATGAACAAATGTTGATTAAGCAAAAAATAGATTTCCCTTAATCTTGATTTACCATTTATTATTTAATGAAGACTCTACAGTTATTTTAAAGTAAGGAATGGAGTGAGTTAAAAATTGTCAGAGTTTGTTGTAGAGCAAGGGTTAATTTTCACAGCAGGGTCACCCAAGCTGTAATGGACTGGATATTTCCATGCAGAAGATCAGTTAGGGTAAACCTATACCTCGACATGGACCAATAAGCTGTTTACATCTTACCATCGCTTTATAGGACGTCTTCAAATTAGTCGACAACGGAACCCAAAGTGACATCAGTGCATGTTTCTTTAAAATATTTTGTGTTACATTAGTTCTGGTTGCTAATAACAGCCTAAGACTTCGCTACTCGTTAAAGCGTTGTTCTCTTTGAACCAGATGGAAAGGTGTTCTACGCCACTTGTTTGCAGGTTCAAGGCAACATGGTGAAGTCCCTCCATGGGATAACTGTGGAACGGTCCAATACTTGCTGCTGGTCAGAAAACAACTTTCCAAACAAACAACAAACAACTGCTTTAGCGACTTCTGACAACATGGTGCCTTCTGGATACAAATGGCTTAAATTGCCATGTTTTCGTATATTTTTTGAATTATGGGCTTAATTTTGTCTTTTTCAGATGACTAACGACGATAACAAAACCGGACTAATTTCATTTACGTGCATCCTAAGCATAACAACCAATTTCGATTTCCAATTAGCCAGTATCTCTTTCACATCAACGGAAATAACCATAAAAGTGTCAGAAAAGGAAACCGTGCCATTCAGTAGCACTCAAGCGCTGGCAGTTTTTTATATGACGAAGTGGTTTTTGAAAGAAAGAAAGGGTCTTGGTGTTCTCTACACGTCTTTTCATGTGGAAATAAAGGTTTCGAAAAATATTGCGAAATCAGTAAGCACCCAGAACTCTAGGAAACATTAGAAAATCGGCTGGCAGACCAGTAGTGATTTCTGAAATGCAACTGTTCTGATTTCCGCACTACAATTCGTTTCAGTATCATCACCCGTCATGTTCGGAAATGATCACGAGCATGGATTTAGTTAAAACTTGAGGATATGGAGAGTCCTTTCTTCATTAATATGCTGAGGGGTGTTAAATATTTGTTAGAAAAAATAGCAATACTGAGACGTTCTCAGCTAGTCACCAGCGTCAGTTGACGGCCTTTGTGAAGCGGAGTGAAAATTTCTACTTTGCTACTCGGATTCTTCCAGGATAAAAGCGAATGCTACAGCCAGGTGACCGACAATTCGAGGAAAATATAATCAGCCGAATAGGGAAGAAAGGATGGCGTAATATATTACATCTCCATACAATGTTAGCCCGATCTTAACGAAAGGATTGGTAACTCGCAGGAGATTCGTCTGCGTACTATATTAAAACACTTCGTCAAAAATAAATAACGAATTTGGAAACGTGCTTCAAAAACTGGTGGATAGGGCTATTTTGTTTCTATTAGCATATACAAGGGCTCGTGTAGCGCAATGGTCAGAGGCGCCCTACGATGCCCATAGGATCAATCTATGCGCCCCAGGCTCACCAAGCCTTCCATCCCTCCGGGGTCGACAAAATGGTAGCAGACTTGTTGGATAGTAGCACTAGTTCGATACATCGGTAGGCCACCTCAATTCATTGTAAAGGCCAGATATGCATCCACTCACCCCCAAAAGTGCTTAATGAAGTCGAATGCATGGCGCATCCCTCAGGGATTGATCAACACCGACAGCTTTATCCTTCATGCTTTATTAGCACAAATTGCGTACGATTTTGTTAACTAACAAAAATTTTCACCAGATAGCAAACCATCGTTCAACAGTGAACGAACAGATGACGAGAATTGACGCGTAGCTGGTGAATTCGATGAGATAGGCGCGGACTTTGCAAATCCATTCGGGGAATTGGTACGGATACGCGAAATCTAATGCACCGTATAACTCCATCGGAAGACCTGCAAAGTACAAATATGTTAAAAAGAGGAAAAATTAAAAGAATGAAGGCTAAAAATACTGTAACAACAATGGTGGAAAAGAAGAATAATGGAAGAAGGTAGAGGAAGTGATGAAGAAATGAGGGAGGGTGGGATGAGTAACAAGCTGCTAATGGGCTCTCAGTCTTCTGTGGTATGTGAACTCAGCTGAAAACAATAAAAAAATCAAAAGTGGAAGAAACGTACCGAAGATTAATACGACGAGGTCGGAAAGTGCTAAGCTGAAGAGATAGAAGTTAGTGTGAGTGTGCATGGATTTAGTGCGAATGATCACCACACATGTACAGATGTTGCCGATAGTGCCGACGATGAAGATTATCGAGTAGCTGATCACCGTCGGAACCACGATCATCTTCTGAAAAAGAGGAAGAAATTAGTGCGCATAACATATGTTTACATCTTTAGCAACTTGATTTGATACGTTATGAATCCGTCGGTGCTTCAAACATCAACTCTAAACCTGGAAAATCTTCCTATTGGTTTCTATTGACAGAATGGCAACGTGAAAGTGAATTAATGGCTTTCCACAACGGTAAAAATCCAACAAAAATTCAAATCAGCATAACCTTTGAGCCGATAATGTACTGAAAAAATCGGCCAAAGGAGATATTTGAGGTGATTTTAATGTGGAACACTCACTGTTTGGCAGGGATTTCCCATCACACCCAGCACGTACGAAGAGACATTCTTTGCGTCATAGCCGAGTAGCTCACAGTTCATCTGTAAACGGTACAAATGTCTGAACGGAGCACGAAAGCGCCGCCTAGGAATCCAAGGTGCTACATAAAGGATGCGAACGAACGAAATGAAACGGCACCAAATGCGGGTGCTATAATGTTCAACATGAAAACTATTCATAAAAAAAGGAATACGACGATTATTTCAAAAAAAAATTGAAGAGAGAAATATTAAATAATAGGATAAAGCATTCCATGTTGATTAATCCTTTAGAAATACGGTCGAGGTGATTCAATGCATATTTGGGCCAAAGAAAATGACATGTAGAGACCTACCTATGCTACAAGGTGTTTTATCCTTCTTGATAAGTCTTGTAACAGTCTCTCAATTTTGGAGGAATAGCGTCTTGGCATAGCCAAGGAAACGCATCGAATCAACAACTATGTATGTATTGCAGAGATATATGTGGGATGTGGGGATGCAGAGGTATGTAAGGATGTACGTATATATCTACCTCACTCCACTGCGCTACCCGGATCACATCTCAATACATACGACAAGATATCTCCATAATGGAGGTGTCCATTAAAAATGAAAAAACTCGTAAACAGTCTATTTAAACAGAAAAGAGTGACCTGTAAGCATTTCAATGATATTATTTTCCAAGTATTGCATAGGTGAGGAGTGAAATAATGCTAATTGAGAGAGCAGCCAAGGATTTTCGTACGAATAAACATAGGTAACCTTCAAACTAGTAAAACTCAGTGAAGTATGACGGCAATATCAAGGGATTTGTCTTTTAGTTAAAAAATGTTTTTTATTACAAAAAGGCTTCCATAGGTTGTGAAAGGACTGCCTTTGATAGTGACTTTTGCCACCCATCAATGTGTCAATTCAGTGCTTATGTCCTTCAAAGGAAGTCTGGTAAACGTGCACCTTGGATAGACGAGTTGAGAATTAATTGGCCCAGTAAGTGGGATTAAACCAACCACGCTTGTCTTGCTGGGCACCTTTATCTATTGCACTATAAAAGCAAGTATAGAAATCTCACCTAAGTAAAATGAGTGAAAACCGAAGAAAAAAAATTTGACGGTTTAAATTAAGCGCAGTATAGATGCAGCTAGAGTTTAAATAAAGTATGTGGATAGGATCAACTCACTATTATCAGTGTTAGCAAACAATAAGTACTAACAATTCGTGCTATGTAAGTTCAAAAATAACAAGGCACAACTGTAAAGAGCCCAACCGAGAGTACTCTGTGGAGAATACCAAAATACGGCGTTGTTTTCCATCTTAAACGACCGAGTTACGCGGTTTGAGTCGAAGGCAAATTGTTCGCCACCATTTGTTTTGTCTTCCGTTTTCCAGATATCATTGGAAGCAGGAAGCGCAGTAAGAGAGGTTGCCGAATAAGCCAACGCTCACTGGCTTGACCCTTCTCCGGGCGAAGGTTTCCAACCCTCCTGGCTCTGTAAATTGGTACCAAATTTAAAGACAGCTACGACGAAGAAGAAATCTTCAAGAAGCAGCCGAATCTACACGTAATTGATGATCACCATGGATAACGAATGTGAGGAAACGGATCCAATGAAAGAACTACTGGTATCTTCAAAAGGTTCGATGTCGGATCCTAAAAAGTGAACAGAAAAAAGCTTCATAGGTTCACATAATGGAGTTTGACTTTTTAAACAAGTTTTCAAAAGCCTTTAGGTTTCGGGAAGAAATTACAAAAGGCTAAAACACATAAAAACTTTTTTCAAATTTATACGACCCGCCTTCCCATATTCGGTGCGGATCACAACAATTTTTGCATTCGATTCGTTTCCTCGCATCCATCATCCACTAAGGCCTTCCAACTTTTACTTGTGCCTTCCGCTGCTGCTTGAGGATTTTCATTTCACCTTGAGTGTCGTAGAATACCAGCCCAGTCGATTCTCACTGGAGTCCTGAGATAGACAGGCTAAGGCTTTCCCACTTCGACTGCAGAGAGCGAATTCTTCCCAGACAAGTTCAACACCAATTTCCCGACTCCGGAGAAATAAATCAGGTGAGCTCACACCGAGGTCGAACCAGCTCCGTCTCGTGACGACCGGCAGCGCTACCATTGTGCCCATAGAAAACTATATGATAACATTCCTGACACTGTTGTAATACACGAGGACAGAAATGTGTATACTGAATATATTCGAGCAATCAGTTATCCGATAAATACGACTGAATAGGATAAAAATCAAGTGGTCCTAAAGTGTGGAAGCGTGATGGCCACGAAATTAACGGAAATTTAAGGGGAGCGGAGTTAAAGGGAATTTAATCGGATAAATGTTCTACAGGAGTTATTGACATAAGATGGAATTCGGTTACTTCCTTAATTTTTCCGGACAATCAGATGAATAATAGACAAAAGAGTTGAAAATTCTTTCACGTGAAAACTCCTCCTATGAAGTTCAACACACACCAATGAGCTCATGTTTTACTGCCACAAGTCTTTCACAGATTATAGACCATTCGTGGATTATATCCGGCACGTCTAATCGGGCAGAAGTCTGCAACCCAGTGACGGCGAAGTATTGACATAATACGCGGTTTTCGGTCGTCTAGATTATGTGGACTTCATGATTGCTTTGGTAGGAATTGCCACAATGGCGCAGAGAGCTATGCGCTACCCTCTGGCTAGAAGCGGTGGAATAAAATGGCCTCATATAAAATGTATGATCTTGTCTTTATCTCTTAACCGAGAGGATCGAAAAAGAATCTGTGGTAGACCACAAAGAGGAACGGATAAACTAGTAGTGGTCGCTTAAATCGTTCGATAAAACAGATATAGCTTTCTGATGAAGGCTCCGATGTTCAAAAATTTCATTGAATCAAAACTATAAAAAGCTCTAAAGCTCTTGGCGTTGATTAATCCCCGAGGGATGCACCATGCATTCGACTTCAATCAGCATTGTTGGGGGTGATTGAATGCATATCTGGCTTTTACAATGGCTCGTGGTGGCTTGCCGATGTATCGAGCCAATGCTGCTATCCTCCTAGACAAGTCTGGTACCAATTTGCCGACCCCGGAGGGATGGAAGGATTGGTGGGTTATGGGCGCGGGGATCGACTCCACGTGTTTGTCGCAGTGGCGCCTCGAACCACTGCGCCACACGCGCCGTTAAATCAAAACTATAGTGGGAGAAATTTTATGGGGACTTCACAACTCTTGATAACATTCGCAAGTGCGACGTGACGACTTCCACACACCGACGATGTCCCACTTCGAATGCTTCCAAAAATCAGAGAGGGAAGCTTTTGAAAGAAGTCGAATTGAGATTGGACTTTTACGACCTATGCCACGGCTTGTGCATTTTCCTGTATGGATCGTTCGACTTCAAACAAGCAGTTTCATTTTGCATCTTGACGATTGGCCGCGTTGGAGAATTGTTCCATATGCGTCTTACACTCAAATTAATCAGAAAAGTAATTTTCAAACCGACCATCATTTAACGTCGGTAGCAAAATAATCAACATGTATATAAATTGTTGAGCTTACGCAAGGTTGATAAATTTGTCTATTTCGGCTAATACTTCGACGTCCTCGTCTTCATCAGCGCCGATGATCCGTGTCGGCGGTCCACAGTTGTTCGTTATCTCGATGTGGCGTCTTCATTGTCGTACCAAGACGAGATCTTCTTCAGTGAACACCGCACGGATAAACCAACGGATCATCGGCTCTGATAAAGACGAAGACGTCGAAATGTTTGCCGAAATAAACATATTTATCAACCTCGTTTAAACTCAGAAATTTAGAAACATGTTAATCAGAAAAATTCTAGACGACGTCAAGAATTAATCAGTAATGCTCAGTACAAAAGACTTATGAGTGCTCTTCACTTCAAACACCTGCAAACTTTAAAAACAGGAAGGAAATGATAAGCTAAGCAGAAATACGGTAAAGTACAATATGTGCACTTATGGTACGACAATCTAGGATAGATTTACCCCTTGCTTTCGCTTAAGGCATTCATATGTTTAAAAAATCTTATTATCTTCCCCACACGGTGCAAACAGCGTTCAGTATATGGAGTATATGGAGAAATCAAGTGAAAATGTGAGAAAAGTCCATATAATTCGAATACATTGAAATAGGAGAAAGGAATCTATTTTATGGAATATATCTATAAAAAACTAATTGAGAGACAGGCGAAACTATGGAACCGCGTGGTGTGGTGGTGAACGCGTTAGCCCCTAGAAAAGGTTGTAGTCGGTTGTTTTTTGTGTGCTATCCTATCTGTTCATTCAAGGATTTGAATAAATAAGAAAGGGCAACGACTGCTACTTACTGTGTTTTAGTTGTTTTTAAACACATGGACAATCGATCTGAAGACTTGTAGGACACGCAAAAATATCTTAGCACAAATACTGAAACTCATTGGTGAAGAAGTCAGAATAAGAAGTGCGCCTCAACTACAAGTGGAAGTCATTAGCTCCCGCTGATGAATATTGTTTCTTCAAGGACAACGTCATCTAATTAGAATTACATAACCGGTAGAGAATCGACGTCTCATAAGTAATCAGTTGGATCGTTCTAAGTAGTAATCCATATTCTCACTTACTTCTTAAAGATGATTCAGGGCTAAAATTGTCAAGGTTGCGTGTAAAGTAGCTCTCACTCCTTAACGAGATAAAAGACGGAAAAAAAACCTTTCTTGGCCAACGAGCTTACTGGTTAGACAAAACAACTGGAGGTCCTGAAATTATGGCAGAGAGACTGAAGTTGTTGGAATGCTGAGGAAGGAAAGGATCTCCCTTACCATTCCAATAGCTTCCTTGTGCTTGACAAGTCTGTGTTTCGGATGTGAAAGAATTTTACTAGTTCTGATTCCTGTTCGTCTACTACTACATCATTAACCAATACCTGTAAAAAAAGTGAAAAATACGGTAGGCCCAGCAGTCAAGGATGCCGTGGAATAAACGTACGATCGCTGCTTTGACACCGCTCATTCAAAACACACCTCTCATTTGTCCGAGGTGAGATAAATGGCATCAGACTTGTATGCAAA